ATTCCAACTGAAGAAGAAAGAGAAATTTCGGACCGAGAAAGTTTATCCGAAGAAACTATTGGGCCCGAGAGTTTAGCGTCTAACCAAAACACTCAAATTTATTTTACCCAAATAATTGCTCGCATTCGCACCGGAACTATTACTGACCCCGAAGAAGCGGTAGTTTTGAAAACTCCCACCCAGCGAAAAACGGTCAGTGAAGAGTATTTAAGGTGCAGCCTAGCCGAATGCTTACTAAGCATACCCAGAAAAAAATGTCCGCACGGCAACTATTTCGCCTGCTCGATAGATACTTGCTCTTTTTCGGAACTGGAAACTAGCCAGTTTGCGGACTATTGCGATAAGCACACTTGCCAAACTCTGAACTGCCAGCAATTGGTGGTTATTTATGAGGATAAAAGCAGAGAAAAGTTTTGCCGTGACTGTCTGCCTAACCCCAGCAATTTTTAAAAATTATGAACTCAGAAAACGAAATTATTGAAATTCAAAACCTACCCGTTACTAAGCATCCTGCCGAACTGATTTTAGCAGGTATAAAGGAAAAACTAAGTGCTTTTGAACGCGAACACCAACAGTTAATTAGTCAGTTAGAGAAACAATGCCAAGAAACAGAAAGGCTCCACAGTGAAGTAGAAAAACACGGTCAGGAGAAAAAAATCTGACTGACCCAATTAGTCGCTTATTGACAGCGAGAAGTTGATCTAATCAATTTAGCGACCCAAATTAAATCGGATCTGACTCCCGAGCAGAAGGAAGCGCTGTTAGAGCAAATGCAGCAACTGAACCAAAAGAACGTCAAATTTACTCGCACCTACCAAGCTAAGGGCCGGTGAAAGAAGAAAAATTTTTATTCGCTAATATTTTTACTGCTTTTAGTCTTAGGGACAGGAGTTCTGTGAAAATTCCGCCATTACCTAAGAACTAATCCCCATTAACCAAAAAATTTTATGAATCAAAAGAAATTAATCAAAAAAATTAAAAAACTGCAAACCCAAAGAAAAAATAGACGAGTTAAAAGCAACCCCATCACCAAAGAATGTTGAGGCTGTGGTGATAAATTCACTTGCTTAACTGCTGAAAATTCCGATTACTGTGTCAATTGCACCCTCAATGACAGTCGCTACCTTCCTACTCGCTCTAACACTAGCAGTTGTCCCGAGTGTGGGGATGGTAGCGGCTGAGTGAAATTTCCCAACCAACCGCCTCGTCCCTGCAAAATCTGTGCTCTTAGAAATGGCTAGAATTATGAATAATAAGCAAACCAAAAACGGGGTTAACACTCTTTCTCCCCTCGACAAAAAAAGAGAAAAAATTTTAAAAAATTTAGAATTCTGAAAATCTATACTGGCTCTTTATGATGGTTCTAACTTAGAAAAAGACAGAAAAGAAATTCAGGAACTTATAGATGAGTTGGAACAAGAACTAGAAAGGTTGGAATCAGGAAATGAAAAAATTTTTCCCATCAAAAATTTTTTACTAGAAAAAAGTTTATTAGTCCAATTCGAAGCCAAGGAAGCCAGCGGAAAGGAACTAACTAAAGCCGAACAGGCCCGCGAAAGACGGATTTTCCAATCGCGAGAGAAAGCTTTTGCTAATATCCAAAAAGAATTAGCCAAGTATTACGAAACAGTAACTAATGGTAATTATCGTTTTGCTGGGATGCCAAAAATCCGCAAAGGTATTCGCGGCTGAGCGGAAGATAAAATTTGACGCTTATTAGTTAGTCTCGGGGAACCAAATAATCCACGATACCAAGAAGAAAACCAAGACAATTACTGAGTCGAAAGTTTAATCACCAATTTTTAAAACTATGACGGGGATAACATTAACATATTTGGAAAAAATCCAAGAGGAAAGAAAAGATAATTTAAGGGTCTATCAGCAAAAATGAAAAGAACACAACAAGGAGGAGGCAGCAGATGAAAAAATTAGAGGGATAAACATTTTTTCATTCTCCCGAAAATGTGAACTTTGTGGGTCAGTGGGGTTTGTTAATAAAAGGATACCCGGATTAAGGAGAAAGATGAAATATAATAAACAGAAAAATCGTTATGAATGCCAAAATAAGGTCACTTGTGAGGAAAGGATAGAGAAATTCATAGATGGCAGATGAACCTTAACTGATGAAGATTGAAGATAAAATTATGACTGAACTAAAAAAATGTAGAACTTGTGGAAACTTGACCCGAAATGAAAATGATCCTTGAGAAAGCGGGGTATTTAGAGTTGTCAGCGACTATCACGGATGAGATAGCTTGAGGATATTTCAATGATGCCGAACTCCAGGATGTATCGAAAAGGCCAAGAAATTAGCCAAGGAATACCAAAAGTATTTAAACAATACTGGGCTGTTTACTCCTCTCGACAAAGTTAAAGAACTAGAAGAAAAAGGCAAGGTTTGAGACAAGTATAAGGAATGAGTATAAAAGTATGAGGATGTGCTATTATAAAAGTAGGGTATGTGAAGCCGACCAACTAATGTTAAGGGAATTTGTTGACTTCTGCGATAAGGAAGCAGTTAAAACAGTATGATTAGCAGGACACTCAACTAAAAAGTAAGGGTTATTTGCAATAACCTGAGATGCTATGAAAAGGCCTGAGATGATTTAAACAAATGAAAGATAAGAGAGGAAGAAAAAAGAAAACTAAGGAACAAAATAAGTAGATTAGAAAAGTTAGGGTATAGCAAGGAAGAGATTTTAAAAAATGAAGGTCCACTCTTTTTTGCTTATCTACCAAGAAAGTAAAAAAATAGAGGAAATAGCCAAAATTCGAAAGTTGCCTGCTAATGATCAACGGCGAGCTATGGAGATAATAAAAATTAACCAAGTAAAATTTTTATATGAATGAAAAAAATTTAAGGAACGCGAACAGAACGGATAAAAAAATTCCACTAATTAGTTCGGAATTTCTACGGGAAAAAGAATACCCCGAAATTTTAACTTTGGAATGTAAAAATCAGCAACTAACTGCTACTTTATCCGATGGTCGTATAGTTAGTATCCCAACGGTTTGGTTTAAAAGATTACGGGAAGCAACTAACGAACAATTAACTAGCTTTGAAATCTTGCCTGATGGTTATGGTATTCACTGACCGGAAATAGATGAGGATATTAGTGTCAAGGCTTTTGTGGAGGGGTTGAATTAGTAGTTAAATTTTTTTGCTTTGGGGGATTTAAAAATATCAAGATACACCTTCACCCAAATTCTCGTTATACATACTCACCATATTCTATATATTATTATTTTTTAGCCTTATTTTTAAATCTTATATATCCACCTGCTTTATTATTATGAACTCGGCGTTCTCAAAAATTAAAACCCGAATTTCAACCACTTAATAATTTACCACCTATTCCTAATACCATTAGACTAATAAAAAATCAGAACGGATAAAAACCAAAAAGGTTAATTTTCCGTCACTCATTTATCACTCCCCCCATTATCTGTAAAGGAAACCAAAATAACATTTCTCGGCCTTCTTCTTGTCTTCTTTTGGCTTCTTTTTCTGCTTGTTCTTTTTGTTTTCGTTCTTCCTCAGCTCGTTCCTCAGCTCATTTTTTGAATTCCTCTTCAAATTCTTTTTTTCGTTTTTCTTCTCCCTTTTTTCATTCTTCTCTTTCTTTTCTTATTCTTTCTCTGTCTTTTGTATATTCTTTTTCAATTTCCTCTTTTTGCCTTTTTTCTCTTTCTTTTAATTCTTTTTCTCAGGCTCCTTC